TCTAGTCTCTTCTCTCTCTCTCTCTCTCTCTCTCTCTCTCTCTCTCTCTCTCTCCTCCCCACTCAGTGAGTAATATGTCACTCGAACCTTTTCCTTCATAGCTCAAGGATTTGTGAAATGTGAACGTGTTGTTTCTCAACTCTTGTTATTGAAGCAAATCAAAATAGCACAAATGTTCCCTCCCCAAGATTTTTAAAAAGACAATCTGCCAATGAACATTTGTAACTACTTTTTGGTTGTCTATTTGATTGGTTTCCAAAGCATCAGGACTCGCATCATGAGTCTTCACATATAATAAGAAATAAATCAAATCACCTTCATCCAAATTCCAGATGGTGAACACCTGATCAGTTACAGACTTAGCCCGAGGTAAATCACCCTATTTGAAAGAGGTATAAAATAGGAAGTCCACATATTTAAAGTTTGGACATCACAGTATCGCACCGGCAGTCCACTTAACTACATTAACTCCAAATCTTAAAAACAAGACTAGAAAAGAGCATCTTTTAAAAAATTTCATGACAATTTATACAGCCAATTTTCTATAGAAATCTCTTTCTATCTATATATCCATCTAAATTAAACATCTAAATCCTAGATGCTTCAATTAAGTGTGTTCAGTGCCTTCTCCAATTAATCTCCTCATACGCAAGAACATGCTAGTTGAGTTGAACTTCAACTTAAGTTAACCTACACTATGTTGGGCTTCTAGGAAAGAACTCTTCATTTCAAATAAGATTATTTAGAACTTCAGCTTAAGGACCCTTAGAAAAATCACAAGGCCATAACCAACTTCAACAAATACATGAAATGGGTACCTTTTGCATTTAAAATCTAACCATATCTAGGGCATGTCTCCTAGAAAGAGGACGAAACAATGAAGTAAACTACAGCTAACAAGTGAATGGAAGTGGGATCTGGTTTAAAAGGAATTAATGGACCAAGAAGAGGACGATGGCCCTATAAAGGAGCTGAATATACCTATAAAGGACAAATAACTAAAAAGAGATTTAATGAGTTAGATTGAAAGACTTGTAACCAAACACTGGCTAAGGGAACAGTCGCCACAACACCTTGTTCCTAGAAAGGTCAAATCTAGATCGTCTCTTCAACTTTATCCTTTCCATTGTTTTCTTAATTAATATTTAAATTCATCATGTAAAACTGTCAAAGAGCGCACTTACGATATCTTGGGTCGATAATCTAGGAAAATTGAGAGATTGAGGAAGATGTTGCATATAGAATTAAAGCTAGGTGGCCAAAGTGGAGATGTGCAACCGGATTTTTATGTGATCGTCGTGCTGAAGCGCAAGTTCTATACAACAACTATCATACCAACTTTATTTTATAGGGCGGAATGTTAGACGGTCAAAAAAACAACATAGTTATAGAATTAGTGTAGCTAAAATGAGGATGTTGAAATCGATGAGAAACAAGACAAGAAGGGATAGAATTTGAAATGAATACATTCAGGAGAATTTAGGTAAAGCACCAATAAGCGATAAAATGAGAGAAAGCAAACTTAGGTGGACTGGCCATGTATGGCACAAACCCATTACAGCACCCGCAAGGACGTACATATTAGTTCAAGTGGAAAACTCACGTACGAGTTAGTTCAAGTGGAAAACTCAAAAAAACAAAGGGTAAGCCCAATAGAACATGATTGGATATAGTGAAAAAAATTATAGGGACTTATGGCTTCACTAAGAGGGGTCTTTAATAGAGCAAAATGGTGGACCAAGATTCATACAGCCGATCCCAATGTAGGACATATTTGAGGAAATGATATACAAACACAAAAACAAGACAGACACGCTAAAAGATGTCTCCACAATTTTCCCCCACACAAGAAATCAACCTCACCTACATAAGGAAACAAAGAAAGAAAATTATGAAAATAATCCAAAACACAGAACCCTACTTCAAGAACCAATTTTGTAAACCAAACAATAGAAAATAAAATTTTCCAAACCATCATACAAACTCGCAAATCAAATTCAAGAAATAGTTTCTATTAGAAAGAACAACTCTATGCAACCAATTGAAAGTTAAACTGAAAAGAGAAGCAAACTGCAGCAAAAGAGCATCTGATCCCATTCCAAGCACGTCATCGTACTGCCTTTGTGCTTTTTCAGTTCCTCAACTCCAAAGCATAAGGAGATCAGGCCATCACGAAAACAAAATTAATAGATCCATGCTTTTAAATCACAATCCAGCAACTTTCCCAAGACGAGTAAAGAAAACAATATCAAACTAGAGAGAGATAGAGAGCACCTCATCATAGTCTTTCTTTTCAGCCTTTGGTTGCTTCAATGGCTTGGCCTTTCCACCTGCAAATCCACAAAAACCCAAACATAATCAAAAGCCCTAGATGAGGAAAATTTCATAGAAAATAGAAGTAGATTCAGAGAAGGCTAAAGACAAGAAGGACTCACCTTGCTTAGAAGACATGATGTGCAGAGATATCGGGGTTGATGAGGCGGGCAATGAAGAGAAGCTTCAAATCCCAAGTCGCCCCAGCTCTCTACAAAGACCTTGACGGGACAAGGTGCACGGGGTATATATAGGTAGGCAAAGAATACGAGAAGCTCCGAGACCACAAAATCAAAGAGAGGGGTACTCCTTGGAAACTGGAAACTATGAGCGCGTCTAACGGGAACTATCGCTGGACTAGATTGTACACTTACACTGAAGGACAATGGCCGAGGTCGGAGGGAATTTCTTCATGATGTGAAAGTGTTCATCCTCGCAAATTATTTGTACTAATATTTGGTGTCATACGTTTTCCTTTCTATTTCACCTGGATATCTTTTTTAAAAAATTTATTACCTCTGGTAAATATTTAGATAAAAAAAAAAGAAAATTACGTATATAGATGTTATAGTTTCCATTATTACTAAAATATCAAATAGTTTTCGTTATTACTGGAATTTCCGTTTTTTCACTTCATTACTAAAAATTAAAAAAAAAAAAAAGATTTTTTACCCTTTTTCAGTTTTTGAACAACAAAATATGTATTTATATTTATATTTTCAGTTTTTGAATAACAAAATATGTCTTGTTTTCAGTTGTTGAACAACCAAAAATAGGACTGCGTATTCCAAAAGCTTGTTGGAATATGCAGTAATATTTTCGGTTGTTCAACATCCACAAATGTCTTTTTTTTGTTATTCAATAACCGAAAATATGACTGTGTATTATGGAAGCTTGCTGGAATACGCAATTTTATTTTCAATTGTTGAACAACCAAAATAGAAACTTTTTAGTTGTTCAACATCCGAATATGTTCTATTTTCCAGTGTTCAACGACCAAAAAAAGGATTGTATATTCCAACAAGCTTCTAGAATACGCAGTCCTATTTTCGGTTGTTCAACATCCGAAAATATTATATTTTTGAACAACCAAAAATGTCCTATCTGCGAAAGCTTTCGGTTGTTCAAGAACAGAAATCCAATCATTTTGGTTGTTCAAAAATAAAAAAAAGGTTAAAAAAATCCTTTTTTAAAATTTCCATTTATGAAGTGAAAAAAAGATATTCCAATAATAACAGAAACTATTTAGTATCTTGAAAGTAATGAAAAATACATTTAATCACCTTACCTTCTTCATTGTTCAAATATAATATTTATTTTTTTATTTTTTTTTAATCATCCAAACCCTATAAAATCTACCTCTATTCATAACCTGTGGAACTCTCTCTCTCTCTTACCTCACAAATAGTTTAAACATGGCATCCCAAATTCTATTTGGATAAGGAAGTAAGCAATTAGAAAAAAGAAAAAGGATAAATATTAAAATTTAGCCAATGCCTTAAATAAAATTTTCTTTTGATTTAAAAAGGTTGATAAGCTTACTACAGTCCCGAGGATTTATTAGAGATTATCATTATTTAAAAGGGTTTATTTGAAATTACCATTATTGAAAAGGGTATACGTTCCTTTCAATGAATTTTTCCATTGAAAAATATTCTTTAAAGGGGTTTCACTCAAAGGAGTGAATATGCCATTTGCTCTGAGGGAACATACATTATGCAGGTGAAATAACTAGAATGTCGCGTCGGTCTCATTTACACTTTTGCAATCACTCATCTTGAGATTTTGGAAACATTGGTAAAATTGGTATGGTTAGTTTCTGAAATTCAAGAACCTATTTGAATAATTAGGGGCCGTTGGGATCCATGGAAAATAATTACATGAAAAAACCTATTTCCTTAGAAATACATTTCAAGAAAAGTATTTCCTATAAAATAGATTTTTGTTCTTTGGATAGTACATGAACACAACATTTTTAATGGTTTTTTTTAAACTTTTTTTGTTTAATATTTTTTATTATATTATTCATTATAATGTCATTTTTTTCATTAAATTTGAGATAAGTCTCTCTCTAAATATTTGAGATATTTTCTCTCTAAAATTTTTTGAATAGTTTCTCTCACTATAATGTGATATAGTTTCTCTATCTAAAATTTTATGATATTTTATCTCCCTAAAGCTTAAAATTTGAGATAATATCTCTCTCTAAAAATTGTGAAGGAGTTTCTCTCTAAAAAATTTTAAGCAGTTACTCTCTCTAAAATTAGATATTGTTTCTCCCTCCCTCTAAAATTTTAAGATACTCTCTCTCTACAAAAGTTAAATTTTGATATAGTTTTTCTCTCTAAAAATTAGAGACAGTTTCTCTCTAAAACTTTTATGGTCCTTTCTCTCACTAAAACTTAAAATTGGAGATAGTTTATCTCTTTAAAAATTTTGAGATAAATAGTTTCTCTCTTTCAAAATTTTGAGATTGTTTCTCGTTCTGAAACTTAAAAATTGAAATAGTTTCTCTTTTTAAAAATTTTGAGATAGTTTCTCTCATAAATTTATTTTTAGGTATTTTCACTCTTTGAAACTTAAAATTTGAGATAATTTCTCTCTCTAAGATTTAGAATTTGAGATAGCTTGTCTCTCTTAAAATTTTAAGTTAGTTTCTATCTCTCAAAATTTTCAAGTACTTTCCCATTATAAAACTTAAAATTTAAGGTAGTTTCTCTCTATATAATTTTTAGGTACTTTATCTTTATAAAACTTAAAATTTGAGATAGTTTATCTCTCTAAACATTTTGTAATAGTTTATCTCACTAAAACTTTGAATTTGAGATAGTTTCTCTCTCTAAAAATTTTGAGAGAGTTTCTCTCTAGAAAAGTTTTCAAGTATTTTCTCTCTCTTAAACTTAAAACTTAAAATAGTTTCTCTTTAAAAAATTATGAGATAGGTTTTCTCTCTAAAACTGTTTAAGTACTAATCGCTAAAATTTTAAGAATTTTCTCTCTCTAAACCTTAAATTTTGAAATATTTTCTCTCTTTAAAAATTTTGAGATAGTTTCTCTATAAAAATTTTAAGTATTTTCACTCTATAAAACTTAAAATTTAAGATAGTTTCTCTCACTAAGAATTTTCAAGTATTTTCTCTTATATAACCTAAAATTTGAGATAGTTTATCTCTCTAAATATTTCCAAATACTTTCTCTCTCTAAAACTTAAAATTTGAGATAGTTTCTCTTTCTAAAATTTTTGAGATATTTTCTCTGGCTAAGACTTTTTTAGATATGTCTATCTCAAAAATTTATATAATTTCTCTCTCTAAAATTATAAGACATTTTCTCTCTCTAAAACTTAAATTTTAAAATAGTTTTTTTAAAAAAAAATTTCTAGTTAATTTCTTTCTTTAAAAATTTCCGATAATCTAAAATTAGAAATGGAAAACACTACAAAGTGCCTATAGGTAAAGTTCTACAGTACCTCATCTACGGTTTTATCACTGTCCAAAGTTTATCACATAGTCACATATGTCTGATAGTGTTTGAATTTTAATATTGTTTTTACAAATCATAATTATTTAAAATTTTGTAGGTGTGTGCGCCTTATTGACATGCACGTGAATAAAATATAAAACAAATAATTTGAATAGTAAAAATTATGTAAAATACCCTTATTAGGAGTAATTTCATCATTTTATTTTATGATTATTATTTTTTTAATATTTTATTTTGATATAACTTGGTCATATGTATATACGTACCAAATTTTAGATAAATCTAATTAGTATAAAAATTATAAAAATTTAAATACTACCATAATTATGACCATATAATGAACTTTAGACGGTGACGAGGTATAGATGAACTATTACGTGTTTTGTAGCGTCTTCCCTTAAAAATAATTTCTCTCTCTAAAATTTTAAGATACCTTAATTTCTCTCTCTCTTCGGGGCAGGCAGGCAGATTGGCATGACCTTGCTTTGACATCGTTCTCCACGGGGAGAAGAGGGATGGAATCAAAGAGCAATCCTGTAAAGTGAAAACCCTTTCCTGTAGACAAAACACACGGATCTATTTCCCAGCAACCCTCTTGTTTTTATTTTTTACTAAGTCCATTATGATGAAAACCCTCTCCTGTGATGGCCTATGTATTCAGAGAAGAACCTAAAGTTAGGTTGAGATTGATGTTCTTCATTGATATCCCTTCAAGCCAGGATTCTTAAACTTTAATGATTGATGTTCGGGATAACCAAGGTTTTGAATCAACATGAAGATTATTTGAAGAATTATGAGAGAAAATGTCAAGTCGGTGAAGATTTTTCTCAACAATCCAAGCCATGACATTGTTTTAGTGATTTTATTGGTTCTATTTAGTTTATTTAGGAAATTTTAATTGTAAAGAGGGGGAAGAGGTTAGCTTTTCACCCATGATTTGGATTCACTGAGACGTAATTCTTTGTCCTTAATGTATTCATTCTCTATTTTGAAATTCTCTACCATTAATTCTCATTTTTCGGATATTTGTGGTATTCAATGTTCAAATTTCTAGCCTAAATTAAAGGATTTTGGGGTTGATATTCTTGTCAAAGCCTAAGCATTAGAGAGAGCATTTTTAAATTCTTTTGGACAATGAGCTTTGGGATTCCTCAAAGAGAGAGGGAGAGAGTTTTTGAATTCCCATATCCAAAAAAATGGTTGGAAAACTGCATGATTTATCTCTTAAATCATATGGAAAGAATACATGTTGATGTTCCAAGTTGTGGCCACTTTCTCTGGCTTACAAGAAAAAACATAATAGCAATCTAGCATGATCATATCATAAAATTTCGATTGATTACCTTCTTAGTGGTCACCTAAATAAATTAATTAATTAATCTCATTGTAATGCATTTAGGTGTTTGGGGTTTGAGCCTCATCAAAAAAAAATGTAGAGTAGCTTAGCTTCTTTATCCCATGCATTTGGAGGTCTGAAGGGGCCGCATGGCTCATCATCTGATGAATCAGTGGTGGAGCATGGTGATTAAAATGCGGGTTTCAGCTTCATTATTTTGTGTAATTTGGCAACCATTTTATTTTATGTGATAAAGCTTAGTACTTGATTACAATGATAGGAAAACCATTTGATTTTATGTATCTATATGATTGCAGGGTATGGTTTAGGTGCGTCTAGGGACTCACCTGCTCTCGGCCTTCCCATCTCTCTCATCTATTTGTTTCCCTCTCTCTCTTATCAATTCGTCTCGACG